GTGGCTGCTCCTCCCTGGAAGTGTTGAAGGCCAGGTTGGATGAGGCTTTGAGCAACCTGGTCTAGTGGAAGGTGTCCCTGTTGCTGGCAGGGGGGTTGGAACTGGATGAGCTTTAAGGTCCCTCCCAACCCAAACCAGTCTGTGATTCTGTGATTCTAAAAAGGCAGAAACAGATGAAGAGAACCGAGATAAAGATTTACTGGTACAGCCCCTAAAGTTTTTCTATCCTCTTCAGAAAGTATAAAAAATAAATATCAAGGTCTGTAAAAATTTAGCTTAGCTATGCTGAGCTGTGAAACAGTCTGATCTACAATCAGAACAGCTCCAACTACAGTCAAATTTATAGATATACTCTACTGAAACTAAATACATGTCCTCAGCAATCAGACCAACTTAACCGTGAGCTGAAAATTCCTGTTGAAATGTAAGATGCAAGAAATGCCACTGTTAAAAAAAATAGTTTAGAGTGTAATTTTAGTAGTCTGATATACTGGTTTTTAAGTAGTCTGGTATACTGGTTTTTAAGTAGTCTGGTATACTGGTTTCTTAGCAACTTTAACAGCAACACACTCCAGCTGAGACATCACAACTTTTTAAAGATGTCTGACATGCCAACCTCCAAATTCCTTTTCCCTGTCAGTTGTGATGTCTTTTCTCCCCAGCAAAGAATACAGGAATGGCACCATTCAACCACTTTAAATAAGATAACAGGATTCTTCTAAAAAAATCAGCTGTAACTATATTTAAATAACTGTATAAATAACTGGTCAGTTCTCATCTCTTTGGAATCTCACGATGCTGTTTTAATTTCAGTATAAATATTAATCTACTAGAAGCAAAGTTAGGAAAGTTTATACTGTTTTTATTCCACAGCCCAGTATGTAAAATCAAAGCTGGAGTGAGGGAAATGCATAAACTCTAGGTCATTAAAGACAGCCAAGTGAAATATAACATGCATTGACTCTAAAAAACCCATACTTAGCAGTATCTGCTTTCCATACAAGTCAACAGGACTCAATATGTAAGATTACATATTTTTTTGTCATCTGAACCTTGTATTTGAAGACAGATTCAGTGCATTTATAAAAGAGGGACATGCCTACTTAATCAGAAGGTATGCAATAAACTCAGCAGGCTACACGAGACAGGTCAGATTAGACAACAACAGCCCCATTGTGGGTGCTGAAGGAGATTAGTGCAAAGTACAAGTCTAATAACAAAACACATTTCCTATATTTCCATAACAGGAATGCTTATTTATTAAGAGGTATGGTCTTATATATGGACTTAAATACTCCACATTACACTGAGGATTACACAAAGCAATTCCTTTTGCCTCTAATGATTTCCCTAAAGCTGTATAACTTTTTGAGTGACTATTCTTTGCTTGGGACTTACTGCAGCTTCAGAGTTAAAAACAGTCAAGAAATACTACAGTGTATATTTGATGAAATATTTTATGAAATCAGACTAGTATCAAAGGCAAAAAAACAAGTACTTTATTCTGTATGATTAAGTTTCATTGGGAGGTTGACACGGTGACCTTACAGACCTTGTAGTTGTAAAGTTACTACTTAGCCAAAGACTTCTTAAACATTTACCCTAAAGAATGTGGGATGGGAAGAGTCATGTTCTACAGTGAGCATCAACCAAAAGAGGAGTAGGTTATACACTTTTACAATTTTTTTGTGGTTCAGTAAATGAGCTTCTTCAAGTTTTCTTGCTGCATCATTTAAAAAGAAAAAAAAAAAAGGCTGTTGTGTAATTTCTTAATGCAAACCTGTTACTACACAACTTCTTTAGGGCTACGTTAGACTTCTCCATATTTAACTGTAACACATTAGTTTAAAAATCACCCCTTAGTCCTATTCTCTAAGGAAATTCGATTATCATTCCTGATTTTTTCCTTTAATATCTTGATATGGAGTATATAATAAAAAACAGGAGTCAATGTTACATACAGAAATGATAATAAAGCAGTACAAAAAACCTGTCACTTTCCTACAGCATACTTGCACATGCAGCTTTATCTTGTATCACCCTTTTCTCCCAACCTCAGAAGAAATAAAGCACTGGAACTACATGTTGTTTATATGTCACTATTTAACTCATAACTGCTTCCTGGTTTTGTAAAGCAACTTTTAAAATGTATTTTGAATTAATTCTCCTGAGGCAAGACCTCCCTCCCCCTAAATTCAGGTTTTATTCATTCTGACAGTTTTCTGATTATCTCCCCCTCTCCCCACATTTTTTATAAGCTAAAGCTGTTCCAAATCACCACCCTCCATAGCTCTCCACCACAATCCCCAACCTTGGTGCTTTTCTGCTCTTCTCCACTCCCATAACCTCAGCATCTTCTAATCCCTTTCACTTCCCCATCTCCATGGGGAAATCAGTTGCAATCATAGAATGGTTTGGGTTGGAAGGGACCTTAAAGATCATCCAGTTCCAACCCCCCTGCCAGCAGCAGGGACACCTTCCACTAGACCAGGTTGCTCAAAGCCTCATCCAACCTGGCCACCAACACTTCCAGGGAGGGGGCATCTACAACTTCCTTGGGCAACCTGAGAATGGGCCTTCAGCCTTGAGCTTTTCTGCCAGGCACCAGCTAAAAACCAAACACTGCCCAGACAGCTGCATCATCACTCCAAATAGATATGGATTCAATTTTCCCCATCTTTCCTCTAATTTGGACATTAATAAAGATTCTCTTTTCCCTCCAGCTACTGACTTTTCATAAGGCTTGCAAGAACACTGATATTATTACTATTGTAGCAAGTTTACTTGAAGTGGGTAAATAAGCTTAAGAATTATTTGGGGAGAAAAGAGTGTAACAAGCAGATAGCCATAGTCCATTCAGTGAGAAACAGGGCTTGGGGCAGGAAGGAGGTGATCATCTTCTGAAACTCATGGTATCTTTATCAGTAGAGTGAGAACAAAATGTGGGGGGGGGTAAAAAAAGTAAAACTAACCTAAAATGCAAAGGATTCCATCAGGTTGAGATTTGCTGCTCTGCGTCAGGATACTCTGAATGTTTCGAAGGCGGCTGCAGCTGCAAAAGAAAGAGAATTCATCCTTAATATCAGCACTTTGAGGTGCTCAAATTTGGTATTCTAAAGAGTTGACCTGTTTTTTTTTTTCTTTAAGATAGAAAACAAGTGGACTCACTTCAACTTGGGTATCTTTTCTCTGAAATACATTTAGATCTCGTATCAAACAATCCCCAGATGATTTATTTTTGTCCACTAAAAGATGAAGCACGTAGCCCCAAGAAAAAAACAGAACCCACAATGATCCATTCTAATCAAGTGCCCTGTTAATAACTTAATAACCTCTAGGAAAAATTTCTGTTCAAGATTCCTCTCACCAAGCCAGCAACACTCTTTTCTCTACCAGAGAAGCACAGAGCAAAACGACATAGAGAAGGCGATTCTTGAGTAGAAAGTTGACAAGAGAAGGGATTGCAGGAGCATCTACACAAGAGAAGTTTGCAAAACATTAATTTCAGCACCTTCAGCACCATCAGAACGCTTCCACCCTGTGTAACTGTGTAATACAGACACATCCCAGACCTCCTACAAGACCAAAGTGAAAAGCGTGACAATTGTTTAGGGGAGAAGGGAGAAAGGCACAAAGAATTCTCCACTTGCAAATCTGCAGGTTCTCAACCACGTCCTCAGTTAATAAAGCACCAGTCTCACACTATCTGTGGTGTTCCAGCAATGCTTTTGCTTACCAGTATCGTGAAGACTCAAAGGGGTCACCCTGTTTCCATAGGAGTCTCCATCTCTGGAGATGTTCAAACCCACCTGGACACTTTCCTGTGCAACCTGGTGTAGGGAGGCTGCTTTGGCAGGGGGGTTGGACTGGATGATCTCCTGAGGTCCCTTCCAACCCCACCATTCTGGGATCCTATTGTTATTACAAGCACATACACAAGGAGAAACACAGAAGTAAGGGAACTTTCAGACAGAAAAAGAGAAAGCCATTTGAGTGAGCACACAGACAAGACAGCTCCTGACCAGGAGATCTTCTCTTATCATTTAAACTTCAGGTGCTCCTGTTTTTCCTTGCTCTCTAGAATTTTACCTAGTCCATAATGGAAAAATATAGAGCCAATACTCTCATTTAGCATAACAAAGCATGAACTCCAGAGGAGCTGTCACATTTTAAGAAAGATTTTTTTTATCTGCAAGACAAGTTAACAAACTAAACTTACACTAGTGGGTTTCCAGTCAGAAAGTGAAGCACAGCTCAAAACAACTTGAAATGAGTAACACTTAATGCAAACAATAAAAACTTTTCCCCCTTCATACCCAAAGAAATATCAAGATCATTTTCATAAGGTGCATGCTGCCTTTCTCATGACTTCTGTATTGAAACCATGAATTTTTCCTAAAATGAAGAGTTAGAATCACAGTTAGAATGGTCTGGGATTGAAGAGACCTTAAAGCTCATCCAGTTCCA